AGTGGCTGGTTGTGGGATGATGGGAAAAGTGGCTGAGGTCTGGCGTGGGTAAGACAGAGATAACGGGATTCACTGATGGCTTCAGGCACCTCAAACACAATGTCTTTCACCAAACACATGCCTTAGCCCTTCCCTTCCTTCCCCCCACCTCAAACCCAGCACTGTCGGTATTTTCTACCAGATATAACCTTTAGATTATATTATGTAGCCTTTAAAGAGTGAGCTTGGTTTCTCCCGCTTAGCCTGAGAGAATGGCCGAGATGTACTGTCAGATGAGAAAAGGCGGGTGCAGCTAAGTGAGCGTCACTTGACACATTTCAGTTAAAATGAACAGTGACCAGAAGAACCTGAGAAGAAACCCAGGAGAGTGAGAAGGGCGAGGACCCTGCAGCCGCCCTCACTGGTCCCCCACCCCGACTCTCAGGCTTCTTCATCAATTGCGTGCAGATAAACAAAACACTGAATCAGAGACATGCTCTCTACAGCTGTACCAAATTATTTTTCTCAGTTAAGCACATGAGGTTCTTCCAGGGTATTCTTTATTGCAGCTATGTTATTCTTCATTTCCCTCGCTCTTACGATTATTTTTTTAAATTTTTTAAAAATATATTTTATTGATTTTTTACAGAGAGGAAGGGAGAGGGATAGAGAGTTAGAAACATCGATCAGCTGCCTCCTGCACACCCCCTACTGGGGATGTGCCCGCAACCAAGGTACATGCCCTTGACCAGAATCGAACCCGGGACCCTTGAGTCCGCAGGCCGACGCTCTATCCACTGAGCCAAACAGGTTAGGGCTCACTCTTACGATTATTATGGGGCATCCATCGCCATGGCTACATGACACATGCATAAGCACACAGTGTGTCTGCATTCGGAGGAGAAGGTGGGGATGACCGATAGGTAACAGACATGAGAAACACGGAACCTGGAGGTACGGGTTGGAAGTGTAGATCACTGTGAGTAAAATGCCTTGAGGGACTCAGCGCCCGTGGAACGCATCCCACGTGAGAAAGCAATGACCGTGGATGGGTCCTAGGAAGCACAATGGGTCCTCTGAAGAAGGGAAGGAGCTCAAGGAAACCAGGAAAGGACCTTCAAGCCAGAGAGGAGGGCAGCCGTGAAAGGCCCGATAACGGGGGTGGGGGATGGGGAGGGAAAGGGGCAGAGGGAGCTTAGTGAGACCTGCTAAAGTCAGGTGAAGGTGGCAGAGGCCATTAAAAAAAACAGTTTACTGATTTTTAGAGAGACAGAGGGAGATAGAGAAGTATCTATAAGTCAGATGAAGGTGGCAGAGGACGTTAAAAAAAGTTTACTGATTTTTAGAGAGACAGAGGGAGATAGAGAAACATCTATGTGAGAGCGCAACATCGATCGGCTGCCTCCCGCACGTCCCCTACTGGGGATCGAGTCCGCGACCTGGGCATGTGCCCTTGACCCAGAATCAAACCACCAACCTGGTGCACAGGACGCCACCCAAGCAACTGAGCCACAGCGGCCAGGGCGATAGAGACCATTCCACTCCCCAGCTGTCAGTGGATGGGAGGGGGTGGGGGCAAAAGTGGACACAACAGCGACACAGAATGTGTCTGAGAGAGAAGGGAGACTGGCAGAGCTCAATGGGCATGTGGGGCAGAAAGGGACTTGAACACGGGTATCGATTATGAGGCTAGAAGGGGATAAAGAGGGAAAAGTTAAAGACCAAGCAGTGGGGGCATAAAAGAAAGCGGAGGTCTTAGACAAGTCGGGGAGAGGTGGCATGTGTTCAGCCCGGGAGGGAAGAACGATCCTGGAAGCGGACTGACCCCTTCTCCTCTGAGGCTGGCACAGGGTTTAGAGAGCTGGGGGCGCAGGGGCAGGGGCGGGGGCGGTTTCACAGAAAGCTTTCCTGGCGAGCACAACTCTGGACACTCAGCCGATCGCCTCTAGTTGTATTGTTCCTAAGAAATACTCGTGGACGGACACCGACATGGGAGGCTCCAGGCCTTCCATTCCCCCCGAGAACCATGACTTTGGACTACTGCGGTTTGGCCTGTGTTCTCGGAGTCCTTCACTGGCATTATAGACGAGCAAAGAGAGAGAAAATGTATAAGAGGACCAAATGGAAATTAAACGATTGAAAAATTCAAAATGTCAGCCGATCGCCTCTATCGTATTGTTCCTAAGAAATACTTGTGGCCGAACACCGACATGGGAGGCTCCAGGCCTTCCATTCCCCCCGAGAACCATGACTTTGGACTACTGCGGTTTGGCCTGTGTTCTCGGAGTCCTTCACTGGCATTATAGACGAGCAAAGAGAGAGAAAATGTATAAGAGGACCAAATGGAAATTAAACGATTGAAAAATTCAAAATGCAAACTCACTGGGTGAGGTCAATGGATTAGATATGAGAGAGAAAAGAAATCAGGGAGCTGAAAGAAAGATAAAAGGGAATTAATGAGCCTGAGCGACAGGGAAAAATAGACTGGGGGGCGGGGGAGGGGGAATATGGAGGCGAGCCTGAAGGACTCAGGGGCAGAAACAAGAGATCTACTGTACACGTCACTGAAGTCCCTGAAAGGAAGGAGAGAGTGTGGGGGTGAAGAAAGTATGTGAAGAATTAATAACTAGAAAGTTGCATGTCACTGAAGTCCCTGAAAGGAAGGAGAGTGGGGCTGAAGAAAGTATGTGAAGAATTAATAACTAGAAAGTTCCCAAATTCGGCAAAGGGCCTACACCAACAGATTCAAAAAGCCGAGCACACACACAGCATAAACCCTCCCAAATGTCATGCCAGGTGACATCCTAACCAAACGTCTGGACTTTATGTGCAAAGACAAAAACGCTCTGAAGGCAGCTCGACAGAAAGGGGGCACTGCAGATGGGAACAGGGGGTCCAATGGCGGCAGATTCCACAGATGAGACCAAGGAAGACAGGAAACAACATGCTTTTAAAGTAGTCAAAGTGCTGATCCCAAATCCTAGATCCCACAAAAACATCCTTGGAGAATAAAGGGCGCATAACGACATTTTTTTAAAAGTATATTTTTATTGATTTTTTACAGAGAGGAAGGGAGAGGGATAGAGAGTCAGAAACATTGATGAGAGAGAAACATCGATCAGCTGCCTCCTGCACACTCCCTACTGGGTATGTGCCCACAACCAAGGTACATGCCCTTGACTGGAATTGAACCTGGGACCCTTGAATCCGCAGGCAGATGCTCTATCCACTGAGCCAAACAGGTTAGGGCGACATTTTTAAATGAAGAAAAACGAAACCATTTGTTATCAGAAAGACCTACCCCAGAAGGGATAGGAGTTGGTGAAAAAGAAAGGAAACGTTAACAGGAGAAACCGTGGGATTTCAGGAAAAAAGAAAGAACATGGAATGGGTAAAAGTGAAGGTGAACAGACTGCTTCTCATGAGGTTTGTAAAAATGGTTCGAAAGGTGGAACAAACCAATCACCAAGTATGATGCTCAGTGTCTGAAAATACTTAAGACAATTATTTTAAAGGATGCGGAGTGTAAGGTGACTTTGTATATACCCTTCTGGTCCCAAGATTATGGCCAGAGGGATAGGAAGAAAAAAAGAAAGAATGGGGAGTATAAAGGGACCCAATGAAAATAAGGTTTCTACACATCAAAATGCTCAAATGTTGATGTTGTAGCTGTGATGTCACATACATATAATACAATACCTAGGGTGAGCACTACAATACAAAGAGATATACTCAACCACATCATAGATATATCATACAGAATTCTCAAAATTAAAGTAACCACAGGAAGCCAACACAACAACAGGAAACAACAAGAAGGAAACAAAAACAAAATCATAAAATGGCAGACTTAAGCCCTAACATATCAAAAATAATTTTAAATTTAAATGGTCTAGCCCTAACTGGTTTGGCTCAGTGGATAGAGCGTTGGCCTGCAGACTGAAGGGTCCCAGGTTTGATTCTGGTCAAGGGCATGTACCTTGGTTGCGGGCACATCCCCAGAAGGGAGTGTGCAGGAGGCAGCTGATCGATGTTTCTCTCTCATGGATGTTTCTAGCTCTCTATCCCTCTCCCCTCCTCTCTGTAAAAAATCAATAAAATATATATTTTAAAAAATTTAAATGGTCTAAATATATCCATTTAAAACCAGAAATTAGTGAAGTGGATAAAAAGAAAGCATGACCTGAGTATATGCTATTCACAGAAACTTACTTTAAATGTGATGATATATAGATAAGGTTGAAAATGAAATTATGGAAAAATATAAACCATGCGAACATTAACCAAAAAATGCACCAGACACTATATTAACATCATTTAAAGTATACTTCAAAGCAAATTTACAGGGCAAGAAGGGGTATTACACAATGATGAAAGGGTCAATGGACCAAGATGACATAGCGATCCTAAATGAGTATGTATCAAACAACAAAGCTTTGAAATACATGAAGTAAAAACTGATAGAACTTAAAGGAGGAACAGACAATTCCACAATTACACTGCAGGACTTCAATATCCACCTTTCAACTACTGAACTACTACACAGAAAGTGAGCAAGGATCTAGAAAATCTGAATAACATCATCAACCAACAGGACTGTGTAGACATTTAAAGAAACTCCAGCCAACAGTAGGAAACACATTTTCTTCAAGCAGCCGTACAGAAGATTCATCAAGATAGACTATATAATGGATGATAAAAGAAAAAAACCACAGCAAATTTAAACAGCCATGTCACACACACAATGAACTAGAAATCAACAAAAAGAAAAAGAAAGAAACTACAGCAAATTTAAACAGCTATGTCACACACACAATGAACTAGAAATCAACAAAAAGAGAGTGTGGCTCAGTGGTTGAGTGTCAACCCATGAACCAAGAGGTTGCCAGTTCGATTCCCCATCAGGGAACATGCCTGGGTTGAGGGCTCGATCCCTAGTAGGGGGCGGGCAGGAGCAGCTACTTGATCATGTCTCTCATCGATGTTTCTATCTCTCTATCCCTCTCCCCTTCTCTCTCTCTAAAAATCAATAAAAAAGTATTTTAGAAAAAGAGCATGAAATATGCCACACATTTAAAAAGTCAACAACATACTTTGTAAATAATCCATGGTTTAGAGAAGAAGTCTTGAATGAAGAAATATTTAGAACTGAATGAAATGTAATTAAAATGTATTAAAACTTGTGAGATGAAGCTAAAACAGTGCATTGGGGGAAAATGATAGAATTTAATGCTTACAATAGAAAAATAATCTCAAGTTAATAACCTAAGCATCCACCTCAAGAAACTAGAGGAAAACACAACCAACGCAAGTAGAAAAAGAATATACTAAAGATCAGGAAATCTGTGAGATTAGGAACAGAAAGGTAACAAGCAAACACCAATATAAAGTGCTGGTTCTTTGAAATGATAAAAAAGTGATAAGTACTAAGAAGATTGACAAAATAAAGAGTTGAAAGATTTCAATGTCAGGAATAAAACAGGGTAATAAACAAATTCTACTGCCAAAATAATAATAAAAGAATACTTGAAGCAAATAAAAAATTTACATGAAGTAGAATAATCCCTAGAAAAGGACAATGAAAATTCATCCAATATGCAATAGATACTCTAAATAGTTCTATCCATATTAAATAAAATAAATACCTAATTAAAAAGCATCCAGAAGAATAACCTCCAGGACTAAATGATTCTCTGGAGAATGCTGCCAAACATTAAAAGAACAAGTAAAATCAATCCTACGCATTGTCTTCTAAACAACAGAGGAAGGAGCAGCTCTCAGCATCGGCTGGGAGGCGGCATCACCTGCACACCAAAACCAGACACTGACAGTACAGATAACCAAACAAACAAAACCAAAGAACGGAAATAAGGAAAAGAAGCTAAATATTGTTATCTTTTATGAAAATAGAGGAAATCTTCCTCAGTAAAAATATTAGCAGACTGAATACTGTAATACATAAAAATAATTAGACGCCATGACCAAGTAGGGCTCATTCCAAAGATAGAAAGCTGGTTCAATATTTAAAACAGCGGTGAGGAGTGGGGGGAGGGGGGAAAAGATGGGGTGGGTGGAAGTGTTAGAGGGTATAGGTTAAATGGTGATGGGAAAAAAAGAAAAAATATTTAAAATATCATACCAACAGGCTACAGAAAAAAACAAACATGGTTATATCAACTAAGAGAGAAAAAGCATTTGACAAAATTCAACACCCGTTCAAGATAACAAAAAACCTCAGGAAATTAGGAACATGGGACACCTTCTGAACTCGGTAAGAAACCTCTATGAAGAAAACCTAAGACGAACATCAGACTTAATGATGAAAAACGGAGTGTTTTCCCTCTAATATGAGGGACCAACAAGAATATCTTTCTCACTACTTCTACTCAACATTATATTGGAAATCCTAGCTAGTGCATTAAGACAGGAAAAAGAATAGGTAATGCAGAGGAGAAGAAAAAATAAAAACTATCCCTATTTTTCTTTGCAGAAAAATCCCAAGCATTCTAACACATAAATGGTTACAGTTCAGAAAGTTTGCAGGATGCCAGAATAACATCCAAAAATGATTTGTATAATACCAAAGACTGATAAAAATTGGACAAGACCTGTTATTGACCTTTATAAAACAGTAAGGAGATAAACAATGCTGCAATATAGAGACACACCATGTTAAATAACTGGAAGACTCAACGCAGTCAAGATGCCTGTTCTCAACAAATTGAGCCACCTGCCAATTTAACTCAATTTCTATCAAAACTTGATATTTTGGGGTAAAAAAAAATCATGTATATCTAAAACTTTATATAGAAATTAAAGTAGGAGTGATAAATAAGTTTCAAATAAAAAAATGTGGATAAAAGAATCACTTTACCCAATTAAAAAATTTACCATTTAACTATAGCGATCAAGTCAACCAACAGTACAGGACCAAAAAATGTCCAAGTACTGGGTCTTTAAAACCACGTGAAGATTTGTTCTTTAAAAAGCAAAGCCTTACCCAGTGTTACCCGGTGCAATAAAATGTGACTGTCCATACGTGTACATCTCCCCTAAAAAAAAAAAGTATTTATGGTTCAAGCCTTCATATTCTCACAAAAATTAATCTCCTTAAGAGTAGAGACAGTGGCCTGCTGGTGTGGCTGTTGGTTGAGCACTGCCCCATACACTGAAAGACAGTGGGTCCAATTCCCAGTCAGGGCACATGCCTAGGTTGCAGGTTCGATCCCTGGTTGGGATGTGTCTGGCAGGCAACCGCTGGGGGTTTCTCCCCCCACCCCTCTCTACAAGTAATGGGAACATGTCCTTGGGTAAGGATTTTTTTTTTTCTTCAAGAATAGACAATGTTTTAGAACAAGGATGTTCATGGAAAGTTTTCAGACCTGCCTTCAACTGTCTACTTTCTGGACAATGGACAGCAGTGAACATGTGTACAAGACACATACAGACCCTAGTCCTTCACCTCTCACACAACGCTCTCCTCCTGCCAACGAGACTAAGAAATCCACGACCAAGTGCCATAGGCGTGGCTGGAGTCTGAAGAAACTGGGGGTAGTTCCTTTTCTCTTCCGAGTCTCTCCCTTCTTTTTAAAGAAGAAATTCCTGAGATAACACTGCCGTGTAAACTAAGGAGAAAGATAGAGTGGGAAGTTTTCTAAGTGCCTGATAACCACTGGGTCTCTCTCCTGAATAAACTCCCACACGTAGAATAAGGCTCCAGGCGGGGTCAGTTTCCAACATGACTCATGAGAAGACCACTGACATCTTGCAACAGGTTTTTCACAGGGAAGACAACCCTGGGGTTTCTCTTTGGTATGAATGATTAGAATCTGAGTACGGTGATTCTTCTGGCAAAACATTCTCCACAGTGTTTACATTCAAAAAGTCTTTCCCCAACAGGAGTTCTTGGAGGTTGACTGAGGATTGTCCACTGGCGAAGGGTCTTCCCACTTCTGTTACACCGACTGGGTTTCTCCCAGTGTGAACCCTTTGATGCTGGGTGAGGGATGAGCTACGACTGAAGGCCTTCCCACACTCACTGCACTCATAGGGCTTCTCCCCGGTGTGGATGATGGAGTGTCGGATGAGGTTAGTGCTCCAGCAGAAGGTTTTCCCACACTCCATGCACTCATAGGGCTTCTCTCCACTGTGAATCCGCTGGTGCCTCGTGAGGCCTGACCTGCGGTTGAAGGCCTTCCCACACTCACCGCACTCATAGGGCTTCTCTCCAGTGTGGATGCTGAAGTGCCGGATGAGGTCGGCCCGATTGCTGAAGGCTTTGCCACATTCCTTGCATTCAAAAGGCTTTTCTCCAGTGTGGGCCCTCTTATGCAGGATGAAAGTGGAGCAGTGGGTGAAGGCCTTGCCACACTCACCGCACACGTACGGCTTCTCCCCCGTGTGGATCCGCTGGTGCCTCTTGAGGTACGACCTGTGGTTGAAGGCCTTCCCGCACTCGAGGCACTCAAAGGGCTTTTCCCCCGTGTGGATGACGTAGTGGTGGATGAGGGCCGCGCTCTCACAGAAGGTTTTCCCACACTCACTGCACTCATAGGGCTTCTCCCCAGTGTGAGTCTGCTGGTGCCACATGAGGTATGACCTGTGTTTGAAGACCTTTCCACACTCAAAGCACTCATAGGGGTTCTCGCCGCTGTGGATGATGTAGTGCCGAATGAAACCTGGCCTATCTCGGAAGGCTTTTCCACACTCTTTGCACACAAAGGGTTTCTCTCCAGTGTGGCTCCTGTTATGGAGGACGAAAGTCGAGCGGTGGGTGAAGGCCTTTCCACATTCATTGCACTTATAGGGCTTCTCTCCACTGTGAATCCGCTGGTGTTGTGTCAGGTGTGACTTGCGGTTGAAGGCCTTCCCACACTCCATGCACTTATATGGCTTCTCCCCTGTGTGGACCATGTGGTGTTGAAGGAGGTAAGTGCTCTTACTAAAGGTTTTCCCACACTCTGTGCATTCATAGGGCTTCACTCCGGAGTGAATCCTCTCATGTCGAGCCAGGAGGCGTTTCTTGTTAAACACTTTCCCACATTCATTGCATTTGAAGATACTTTCGTCTTCCTGAGTCATGCGATCTTTACCTAATCTGCATGAGCCATGCTCCAGGAGAGCTCGCAGTGCAGGGGCTTGCTCCTGCACAGTCCTCGCATGCACACCCTCCGCTGTCCCCCAGCCGCCATGTTCAGAGCGGGATTTCCTAGGAAGCTTCTCCTTCTGCAGGTCTATCCCTGATTCCCACTGTACCTCTCGCAGTTCCAATGGCCCATTCTGATCCGTGGTTTGGTCCACCTGGAAGTCTTCTGGGGATTCAGCTCCTTGTGTTAGTTGCTCCAGAAGGGAGGCTCTCTCAGACAGGGCAAGCTCACATGTAGTGGGTTCTGTGATTCTAGCTTTTCCCTTCTCACCTGAAAGAAATCCAATGCACAACAGGGCCTGTTAGTAATGCCAACATAAACACACACACACACACACACACACACACGAATTCCCCACCATTTCAGTGATTTAAAAAAAGGTGAAAATAGTGCTTTCTGTGTCTGCTTGTTTTACCTCTGAATACAAGGACTGCAATTTTTTTCTTTCCTAGTCCCTGGACTATGGACACCTTGAATGGGAGACAAAGGGAAGTAGCTGGGTTACAGGGCGGAGTGATGAGAAGAAACAGTCAACTCCAGAGAGGATATTTATGCAAACAGGTAACTCACTTGGGCCCCTATATAGTTTATGCCAAAGAGATGACTCAGGGCAAGGCCTAGCCATGCTAGAAAGACTAACCATATGCTTAGAGGGTTGGGACACTGAGCTATATGATAACAACTGGGCTTCTGGAAAAAGAGGGGGGCAGGAGACTGTGTCATGTAGGTAATTAGTCAATCAACGGTGCATATGAAATAAGTCAGTAAAATTCTGGACCCTGAAGCCAGGTGAAACCCTAGGTTGGAAATACTTCATTCATGTATCATCAACATCAACACTAGGGAGTTTAATGAGTCCCTGAGGAAACGCACGTTTGGAATCCCTCCAAAAACTCTGAAAAACACTTTGATGTAGACCTACTAGACCAGTGGTTCTCAACCTTCCTAATGCCGCGACCCTTTAATACAGTTCCTCATGTTGTGGTGACCCCCAATTTCACTGTTACAAATTAAACATAATTAAAGCATAGCGATTAATCACAAAAACAATATGTAATTATATATGTGTTTTCTGATGGTCTTAGGCGACCCCTGTGAAAGGGTCATTCAATTAAAGCACGATTAATCACAAAAACAATATGTAATTATATATGTGTTTTCTGATGGTCTTAGGCGACCCCTGTGAAAGGGTCATTCGACCCCCAAAGGGATCGCGACCCACAGGTTGAGAACCGCTGTACTAGACAAAGACTTTTAAAAATCATCTTGTCTGAACGTACCCTATCTTGTCTGGTCTCAGAAGCTAAGAAGGGTCGGGCCTGGTTAGTACTTGGATGGGAAATCACCTGGAAATACCAGCTGCTTTAGTCTTAAAATAATCATAATAAATTAAATAAGTAAAATATTTAAGAGACCATCTTAAAGAAGTTCAAAGAACTGAAGGAAGATATGGAGAAAATAAAGAAAATTATGTCTAAACAAAATGGAAATATCAATAAAGAGCTAGAAAACCTAAAATAAACAAAAAAACGAATTTCTGAAACACAATACTACCAACAACTGTACACCAACAAAATGGATTACCTAAGTGACATGGACCAATTCCGAAAAACACAAAACCTACCAAGACCTATTCATGGAGAAATAGGACATCTGAATAAACCTATAATAATTAAGGAGATTGGATTTACTAATCAAATATCTCCCAACAAAGTAAAACACTGGACCTGGTAACTTTACTGGCGAATTCTACCAAACATTTCTAAAGAACTAATACCAATCCTTCTCAAACTCGTCTAAGCTCATTCTCAGACTATCAGTATCATGATAATAAAGCTAAAGCACTAGAAGAAAACAAAACTGCAGACAAAACAATCTCTCTCATGAAAACTGATGCAAAAATCCTCAACTAGAGAGTGGCAAACTAAAATGCAGTAGCATATTTAATGGACCATACACTATGACCACGCGGGGTTTATTCCTGTAATGCAAGGATGGTTTGACGCATGACAATTGATCAGTGTGATACACATTAACAAAATGGGGGGGGGGGGGGGGGGGAGGCAACACGATGATCTCAATTGATGCAATAAATACTACCAATAGCTTGCTTTTCGTGAGCCACTATGTCTCAGACGCTGTGCTAAGCAGTTTTATGCATTAATGCATTACATGATTACACCCCCAAACAACCCAATGACAAAAACACCATTTTTACTAGCAACTTCCTGGGACGGACCGAGTGTAGCAGACTACACTCAACAAATGTTCGGCGACTCAGACTGGACACACAGCCTCACCACAACTCCAAGCCCCACACCCAGGTGTCCAAAGGCCTAGTTCGCCTCCATGGGATGTGAGGGGAACTGGTGTTTGTGGGAGGGGGTGTGACATCCTCCCTTCCTTTCTCCAGTCTCCTCTGCCAGCTCGAGGATGTCAAGACAGCCTGACAGCCACACACTGATGACAGGACCCACACGGGTCCCTGAAAACCATGTGGCACAGAGATCCCTGCTGACCCCATGTGAGTGAGAAAAAGCTACCATATGCTGGGCAACGAGATGCCGGAGCCTGTCTGATCCAGCAGCTACTTTTAACTGATACAAAGACACAAGAAGATCGTGCAACACACTACAGCAGAGCTGGCAATCAGCAAGCCAGACTCTGAGCCCCAGACAGATCTTAGCTCTTACACCCCTGTCCTCCATGACATCAGAGGACCCACAGGTCAAAGGGCTCCATGGCTTGCCCTGGCTAGTGTGGCTCAGTGCACTGAAAGGTTACTGGTTTGACTCCCCGTCAAACACAGCTGTGGTGAGGCTTGTGTGTCCAGTCTGGGTTGCAGGCTTGATCCCCGGTAGGGAGCATGCAGTTATTCTGCTCTCACATCTCACATCCATGTTTCCCACTCTTCCCCTCTCTCTAAAAAAATCAATAAAAAAATATTTTGGGAAAAGGGCTCCATGGCTTCCAAACCACCAGACAGGCCACAGGAAGCTTCCCAGTCAGCGGTCTCCTCAAGGTCTCCCGTTGGCAGGGCCTCTGTTTGCCGGGCCTCGGCTCCTACCTGAAAAGACGCCTCGGGAGAGATCTGTCTTCACCATCCACAGCTCCCGCCCCGACTCCGGCTGGCAGATCAGCTGCGGTCTGGGAACAGGGCACCCTGTTCATGGAGAAGGAAAGAGGACATGAGGATTTAAGGGTATTTGTGAAAGGAAATAAAGTCTCTCAATCTAGTCTGGGACAAGACCTCAGATGGAAGCTGCTTCCATCCACACAAAGTGCTGACGTATGACCTGAAACCAAAGACAGGCCATACTGACATGGAGTTTCTATTCCTAATACTAAGTCAAAAACTAATATAGAGTGTAATCATACTCAGAGGACTGTGTCAGCAACTTAAAAGCATCATTTCGTTTCAAAATCAAAATGAACTTCTGGAGTAAACAACTGAAATACCTAAAATATTTACTCCTTTCAGTCAAAACAAGGTATGTGTCTTCATTGATCTTTTCCCCCCATTTTTAAACATGTACTGATTTTAGAGAAAAAGGGGGGTGCGGGAGAGGGAGACAGAGACAGAAAAAGAGAGAGAGAACACTGATTTGTTGTTCTACTTATGTGTGCATTCAATGGCTGATTCTCGTATGTGCCCTGCCCAGGATCAAACCCGCAACCTGGGCCTATCAGACAACACTCTAACCAACTCAGCTACCTGGCCAGGATCTAGGTCTTTTTCTTTTTAGATCCACAGACAAGATGAAGATTCCACCTCAGGATTTCCTCAGAGCATCACCAGCAAGTACACACTGTGACCAGCCCTGTGTTATAGATGAGGAAGCCAAGGCTCAAGCAGGTAACATGATGTGCCGAAGAGGACAGAGTGGTGGGTGGTGGAGCCAACATGGAAGGCCTGGTCTAGCCTTGTCTGCTGTCTTGGCTGTTTCCCCACCCCGGCCCCAGAGGCGCTGAGTCCAGACACGAGGGTACGAGAGTCCTGAGAGTCACAGCGACAGCAGAGCAGCAGGGGGTCCCCAGTGCCGACCTGGTCACAGCAGGCATTGTTCTGAGCCTTTCCCCAAGTCGCCCATGTGCCCTGCCGCACTCCTGAGAAGCAGCTGTCACATTAACCCATTTTCCCAATAACACACTATGGCACAGAGAGGTTCAGTAACTTGCCCAAGGCCACACAGCTTTCCAGGAGCAGAGTTGGATTAAACATCAAGATTCTGGCACTAGACACTTGTCCCCCAAACACTCCACTCAAGAAGAACCAGCAAACACCCTTGTGGGGCCAGCAGCCCGAGGCTGGTCTTGTCCACGGCAGGATGTACAGCATCACTGGGCTCTGCCCACCAGATGCCACTACCACCCACACCCAGCTGTGACCATCAAAGTGGCCACCGATACTGGGGAACTGGATGAAAGAAGGTGAAGTGAATAAGCAAAAAAAACCTATATATATATATATATGACACACAGGCATAGTGTGACGGGTGAACAACCGTGTGGTAACAGCTAGAGGGAAAGTGGGACGGGATAGATGGAGATGGGGGGCGGGGGGGAACAGTTTATTGATTTTTATTTTTTTTATTTTTATTTTTTTAAAAATATATTTTATTGATTTTTTACAGAGAGGAAGGGAGAGGGACAGAGAGTTAGAAACATCGATGAGAGAGAAACATCGACCAGCTGCCTCCTGCACACCCGCCACCGGGGATGTGCCCGCAACCGAGGCACATGCCCTTGACCGGAATCGAACCTGGGACCCTTCAGTCGGCAGGCCGACGCTCTATCCACTGAGCCAAACCGGCTAGGGCAGTTTATTGATTTTTAGAGAGAGAGAAAGGGAGAGGGAGAGAAAGAGAAACATCGCTGTGAGAGCATAACATTCAATTGGCGGCCTCCATGGGGGATGCAGCCCGCAACCCGGGCCTGTGCCCTGACTGGGAATCCAACCAGCAACCTTTTGGTGCATGGGGATGATACCCAACCAGACGAGCCACACCAGCTGCTCCTGAGGCCTTCGCGACCAGCCCCGCCCGGAGGCAGATGTGGATAAGGAAGCGGCGGGCTCCCCACCGAGGGGTCAGACTCACCCAGCGACGCCAGGAGCCTGCAGTTCTCCAGCATCACCTCCTGGTACAGGGTCCTCTGGGCCACGTCCAGCTGCCCCCACTCCTCCTGGGAGAAGGTCACGGCCACGTCCTCGAAGGTCACAGACACCTGGGAAGTAAACAGAGGTCACAGCGACAGTCTTGGAGCTGCTCATGGGATCAGCGAGCGCCTCTGCGTCGTGGTCCAGGGGCAGACGTCAAGGCCCAGAGCACCACGCGGCTGCTGGGTCCTGCCAGGAGCCTGTCCCATCATGTTTCCCCCCAAACCCTAATTACCGCTGACATTCAATATTCTTTGACATTAGTTACATCATGTGCTAAAGTGACTAAAAGTCCCCAGCTCCTTTTTATCTATAGTGAATAAATACATCAGCCTATAAAAACCGCTGTCCAGAAATACGGAAATACAAGGACAACAGGTGTCTGCTTGTCAACAGCCACAACAATTCACAAAGGGGTAAAATGAAAGATCCCAGAACCACGTGACAAGTCCCCTGCTCTCAAGTCATCCTTTCACCAGTGGCTCCTGACAGACCTGTGCTGAGCAGGCCCACTAGTTAAATGCCAATAATCCAGCCACTCCACTCTCAGATAAACAGCACCACTACTGCAGATGATTTAAATGCTCCCAGATCTTCAGACTTTCCTAAAATCTCTCAAACAAGCAGCAGCTGGCATCGGTGTGCCCCAAACCTATCAATAAAAGGCCCAAGACCCAGCACTAGCACTAGCCTGCCTTGCTTTGCAGCTGGGCCTCACCTGGGCACTTCCAAGCCCAATACAAATAGCAGCCATCTGGAGATCTCTCTGTCGCTCTTGCCAGGTGGCCCCAGGCAGTGGCTGACTCTGCACCTCCCGGGAGGCCCCAGAGCCAGTGCACCCAGTGGACAGCTTCAGACCACACCAGATTACAACTCTACACATCCACAAGCAACACACTCAAGGGGTGGACTCAGTGAGCATCAAAACCCCACTGAAATGAGTCCTGCTCCCTAGGGTGCCTCCTGCACTGCAGTTCTTCCATTATAGTCACAGCTGGTCCTCACAGCCCATTGGCCTGAAGGTCAATTCCTCCCAGTGATGCCAACAGCAATCAAGGCTCAACTACAAGGCTGCACACAGCCCACACAGGGTGCACCTAGAGTGTCTGTCTCAGGTGACTGGGGAGGCTAAACCACTGGGCCCTACAGGACACCTACTACACAAGGCCACATTACCAATTCCGGAGATATAGCAGCTCTACCTAATATATAGAAACAAATACAGGGAAGGAGCCAAAATGTGGAGACAAAGAAACATGTCACAAATGAAAGAACAGAAGAAATCACCAGAAAAAAGAAATAAATGAAATGGAAGCAAGCAGACTACTGGATACAGAGTTCACAACAATTGTTATAATGTTGCGCAAAGATCTTAATGAGAGCTTCAAGGGGCTTAATGAGAATTTCAAGGATCTTAGTGAGAATTTCAAAGACATCAAAAAGGACCAGTCAGGAATTAAGTATACACTAACTGAAATAAAGAATAATTTACAGGGATTTAACAGGAGAGTAGAGGATTCTGAGAATCAAATAAACGATTTGGAATATTAGGAAGCAAAAAACATTCAATCAAAAGAGCAAAAAAGAATCTAAAAAATATGAAGATAGTGTAAGAGCCTCTGGGACACCTTCAAGTGTACCAACATTCACGTTATGGGCGGGCCAGGAGAAGAGAGAGCAAGATATTGAAAACCTATAAGAAATAATGACAGAAAACTTCCCCTACCTGGTGAAAGAAATAGACTTACAAATCCAGGAAGCACAGAGAGTCCCAAACAAGAGGAACCCAAAGAGGGCCACACCAAGTCACATCATAATTAAAATGCCAAGGGTTAAAGACAAAGAGAGAATCTTAAAAGCACCAAGAGAAAAACAGTTAGTTACCTACGAGGGAGCACCCATACGACTGTCAACTGATTTCTCAACAGGAACTTTGCAGGCCAGAAGGGAGTGACAAGAAATATTCTAAGAGATGAATAGCAAAGACCTGCAACCATGATTACTCTACCCAGCAAAGCTCCCATTTAGAATTGAAGGTCAGATAAAGAGCTTCCCAGACAAGAAAAAGCCAAAGGAGTTCTTCACCACCACAACAGTATTACATGAAATGTTGAAGGGTATTCTTTAAGAAGAGGAAGAAGAAAAATAAAGGTAAAAAAAATGTGAACAATAGAACAACACAGTACATACATATCTACCAATAATTGGATCTAAAAATAAAAATAAATGAACAAGGAATAATGAACAAAATAAAGTGATGAATAAAATAGAACGGGAGGCATGGAAACATGGAATAGACTGACGAATCTCAGAGGGAAGGGTGTGTGGGGAGAGTAACCAAAGATCTTATATGCATTACCTATGGTCACAGACAATAGGGTGGTGAAAGCCTGGGAATGGGTGGAAAGGGGGGTACATCTGTAATACTCTCAACAATAAAGATATATATGTGTGTGTGTGTGTGTGTGTGTGTGTGTGTGTATAAATATAAATAAATACATGCTCCCAGACATTGGTCCATGGTTTTTCACCTACACCTTCAGTGCTCACCTCTCTGCTTTCAAGCTTCATCTCTCTGAGTTTTCTAGTTTTTTAAAATATATTTTTATTGATTTCAAAGAGGAAAGGAGGAGAGAGAGAGAAGAAACATCAACGATGAAAGAGAATCACTGATCAGCTGCCTCCTGCACGCCCCCTACTGGGGATCTAGCCTGCAACCCAGGCATGTGCCCCTGACTAGAAATCAAACTGATGACCTCTTGGTTCCTGGGTTGACGCTCAACCGCTAGCCGCACCCAGCTGGGCTCTGTGAGTTTTCTTGACTTAATATTTCAATTAAACACTCGGCAATTCCTCGTAAATGAATTGGTCCATAGTTAGGAGCCCTGCAGTCTTACTCATTTCTGGGCGGGATACTCACATCATGTGCAAATTTTGGGCAGGTAGGTAAGAGTAGAAAAACCAGCTAGGGTCTCCACGTTTACTACCAGATGATACATGTTTAAATAATATAAACTCTCGGCCCTGGCTGGGTAGTCCAGCTGGTTAGAGCATCCTCTGGACACACCAAGGCTGCAGGTTCCCTCCCGTGCAGGGCACATGCAGGCATTAACCAATGAATGCAGAAATGAGTGGAACAATAAATTGTTTTGTTGTGTTTTTCTTTTTTTCATCTTGCTCTCGCTCTCCCTTCCGCTCTTAAAAAAAAATCAATAAATAAAAATATGCTATATTATAAAACTCTAATATGCAAATCGACCAAGTGGCGGAATGACCAGTCGCTATGACGTGCACTGACCACCAGGGGGCAGACGTTCGATGTAGGAGCTGCTCCCTCGTGGTCAGTGTGCTCCCACAGGGGGTGCACTGCTCAGCCAGAAGCCGGGCTCATGGCTGGAGAGCACCTCCCCTGCAGAGCTAAGGACCCCTCGCGGGGAGTGGGCCTAAGCCAGCAGTTGGACATACCCCAAGGGCTCCCAGACTGCAAGAGGGCACAGGCTGGGCTGAGGGGACCTACCCCCCCACCAGTGCACGAATATTGTGCACCAGGCCTCTAGTGTATGTGTGTGTGTGTGTGTGTGTGTGTGTGTATAGGATCTCTGACATGCAATTACACAGCATTCTGTATAACTGGTTAGGGTGCAACAGTGTATATGGCTTTCTCTAGCTGGTTAAGCTGGAAGTGGGTAAAAATTTGAAACAGGGTGCCGCTGGCCTGGCTCAGCAGCTGACCATCGACCTATGAGCCAGGAGGCCAGGGTTCGATTGCCCATCAGGGCACATGCCCAGACTGCAGGCTCCATCACACCCGACCAATGATTCTCTCATCACTGACATTTCCATCTCACTCTCTCCCTCTTTTCCTCTCCGAAATCAATAAAAAAATATTTTTAAAGTATATTTTATTGATTTTTTACATAGAGGAAGGGAGAGGGATAGAGAGCTAGAAACATCGATCAGAGAGAAACATCGATCAGCTGCCTGCTGCACACCCCCCACTGGGACCGGCAATCAAGGTACATGCCCTTGACCGGAATCGAACCTGGGACTCTTCAGTCCGCAGGCGGACGCTCTATCCACTGACCAACACCGGTGAGAACAATAAAAATATGTTTAAAAATGAGGAAAAGGGGTGGTTATTAATGAGGTCCTGGCCACTTGGGGCCGCAGTGACTGGTTAGCCCCCCCCTTCCCCCGCCCATCACTGCAGATGGGAGCGGCCGGCCCCAGCGTTGCGCATGCGCTGTGGGGGGTGGTCTCCCGGGCGGGCGGCTGTCCGCTGAGGGGCTGGGGGGTCACCTCTGCGTTTCCGCCTCCGCCCCTTGGGGTGTTCGGCCTCTCGCGTCCTGACAGCGGGGAGAACGCGACAAGCCAGCCCCCCACTTTAAACCAACCACAAGGACACAGCCGGACCCCACGACTGACGTG